CAAGATCAAAGATATCTACGCCCCTCTTAAGCAGCTCCGCCAAGTTGGGCATCTCAGTGCAATCCGGAAACTGAGCACGCCAGGCGTCACTAAGGCGGGAAAAGCAGCGGTGCTCAGTGTGAAGCTTCTGCACGTCTGACCAGCACGCTCACCCGTACGAATGACATACGGGCAGGTACTACCACCCCCAGACGTCTGACGCTGCGCGTACCACTCACGAAGCTCATGCGGCGTACGGGGCGCGCGCTGGCGCTGCTGCTACTATGCCTGGCTACCTCCAGAACCGCCGCGCTGGGCCGCACCACTGCGACCGCTGCCACCTGCGCCACCGCCACTCCCACTGCCGCCACCCCCGCTGCTGCCACTCCCACTGCCGCCGCCACCACTGACCCCGGCACCAGTAACCCCACCCGCACCCCCGCTACTCCCACCGCCTCCTCTTCCGCCACCCCAGCCTCCACCACCGCCTCCACCCCCACCACCCTTGCCTCCCTTGCCCTTGCCGCTGCGGCGCCTCCCACTAGGAGCAGACGCAGCCCCAACCTCCTCAGCACCAAGGAAGTCGACAGCAGCAGCAGTGGCGACAGGTGGGAGGAGGGGAGAGGGGGAACACCCCTCGAAGAAAGGGGTGCGAGGAGTGCCACGAGAAGCGCCTACAGCATTAATGCTAGCCTCAACCGCTGTAAGGTGCTTCTCGAGGAGGTCGATAGTGAGCTATGTGGGCTCCATGGCGAGAAAGAGGTCTCTGACAGCGCGAAGAGAAACTAGGAGGTAGAGGGTGTAGTGGATAGGGGGGGGGGGTATTGGCAAGAAACTCGGCGGGGGTCGCAGCACGCACACGAGCGTCGCTGGTGCGAAGGTGGGTGATAAGATCAGCAACTGTGGGAAAGGCGGACAGGTCAGGAAAGAGGTAGGGCAGGATGAGACGGCCTAGCGCAGCAGTGGCAGGCGAGCTGTAACGAGCGACAACTGCGTCGAACAGGGCATTAGCGGTTTTCTACTGGCTAAAGTGCGCGCGTTCGGCTAACGGTAGGTGGTTGCGAACAGCTAGGCGAGCAGCAGCATCGCGAGTAAGCCACTGGTCGCGAGTGTCGGCGTCAGCATCGGCTGCAGGAGCGCTAGAGCTACCGGACGTATGAGCGAACAGGGACACACAATCCTTCGACTCGCACTGAAGGTAGAGCTTAAGGTCGTCTAGCCAGGTTTCAAATTCGATCGGGCGGCCCTCTGCGTCAAAGGTGAGAACATTGTAGGTCGCCATTGGGAGCGGTGCAAGGCAGCAGTCAGGCGGCGCATAGGGCAGCAGGTGGCCGGTAGAGCAGTGGGCAGGCGGCAAGCAAAGTTGCAAGCGGCCGGCAAGGCAGGAGGTAGGCGATGCGCGGGGCAGCAGGCAGCTGGTAGGACAGCTGGCAGGCGGCGCGCACAGGGCAGCAGGCGGCCGGCAGGGGAGGAGGCGGCAAAGGGCGCAGTGGCAGGGCATGGCGCTCTGCGGCGGCCAGGTGGCGCGCGGGCAGGGGAGCGCACGCGGCGGCGGGCGGCGTGCGGGTAGGGTTGGCGCGCGGCTCACGGGCGGCGCAGTGCACGGGGCGCGGCGGCGGCGCACGGGCAGGGCAGTGCGCGGCAGCGGGCGGCGCACGGGCAGGGCAGGCGCGCGGCTGACGGGCGGCGCTGTGCGCGGGGCGAGGCGGCGGCGCATGGGCAGGGCAGGGCGCGGCGGCAGGCGGCGCACGGGCAGGGCAAGCGCGCGGCTTACGGGCGGCACAGTGCGCGGGGAGCGGCGGCGGCGCACGGGCAGGGCAGCGCGCGGCTGCGGGTGCGCGGCACGCGGGTAAGGCAGCACGGCGCGCGGGTAGGGCAGGGCGCGCGGCTGAAAGAAGCGCACGGACAGGGCACGGCACGCAGCAGCGAGCAGCGCGCGGGCAGGGCAGGGCAGGGCGTGCGCGGCAGTGCAACGCAGGGCAGGGTAGGGCGACTCGTGGGGTAGCGCGGTACGGTGGGCCCTAAGAAAGCGGTCCTAGGCTAGGACCTGCTCTGAAACCATGTTAGAACTAGAAGCAGGAATGTGTGTATTGAATGAAAGGTGGGTACAAGTACTAACCCTAACTTTGGGTTGTACCCCATATGGGCTACCCCACTATAGCCTACACAGACTTAACACACATATATAGTTTGACAGTGTCAGGTGCTGGAGCTTCATCTCTGCCCTCGTGCACTTGGTCTTGTAGGTGCTGGAGCTTCTGTCTCTGCCCTCGTGCACTTGGTCTTGTTAGCCACTCCACTGACTTCTTTTGCAGGGCTTCTCTTCTTTGCTGCGCATCACAGCTTCACCACATCGTCCCAGTCAGGTTCATACTGGAGAAGGGAGATGCACATGAGGTCCGCGGGTCGCGCGTTGCACAAGTTGCTCCGGAGCCACGACTTGATGATGTTCTGGCAACTGAAGCCACGCTCGCACTCCATAGTGCGAGTGGAAGTACAGCCACAACCACCTACAGTCAAATGAGATTGGGAGAAGATGAATCTCCACTTCTCAGCATGTTCTTCAGGCATACCGTCTTTTCTCGGATATAAGAACCAGTGGACTTTCCAAAAACACATTAAAAAATGTTAGGGTCAACATCATGGAGGCTGGAAATTGATAAGACCCCCGGACATCTATTTCATATATTTTTTCTATTTTATATTTTTTTGGATGTCTTCGTCGTGCCATTTCTAGCTTCGCGAAGCCCTCGCCCGTTTCGTCCGCTCCTCGTACATGCTGTAAATCATACACGCTCGCACAAACGTGCGTACGCACGTTCACAACGCCGACTCGAGTCAAGTTCATATTTCACATTCGAACTTGTGTGCGCTGTAAATTTATTTCTCCTTCGCGAATAACCTTCGCCGAAATATGCGAAGCGGGTAACCACCTAAAGTTCGACTTTTTTATCGGCTCGAAACCTTGTAGTCATCCTTCACGGAAGTGCTGCCACATCGCGGCGCATTGGTTTAATAAACCGCTTCCGCTTATCCATTCAATTGCTGCTCCGCGCAGTAATGTTGCTGCGAAATTAATTATACCTCTATTGAGTGCTGGTGCTGTCCATCCCATGGCGGCGAAATAAATTTCGATCGCCACTAGCCAGCGCCGAGCGTCGATTTCCCCATCAAAGGTGTTGGGGGCTCGAATTTCTAGGGCCTTGGGAGAATTTCGCGACTGCTGCGAAGTTACGATCGGATTTGCTACTGTCGTAATTTTCGCCATGTCGTGTGCTTTCACCCGAAGTCGTTCGATCCGTCGCACGTCGGTCTCGCTCCTTCCACACTGCTCCATCTGGACGCTCCGTAGGGTTGCAGGTGCCGCGAGGTGAAAAAAATGACTGTTTCCAACTGCTGGCCTGCTCAGCTTCGTGAGTTTGGAAGTTCAAACTTCCGTCTCCTACCCAGTGCCGATGGGAACATTGACCTCATCCCGCTCTGGTCCTCGACACAAACGGTAAGTTGCTGCTTCCTGTTCACTCTCACGTGTCTATGCTGTGGCTTTGACAGGTCGGTTTTTTCATCACCACGAGAATCCCTGCACACCCCGCCATCCAATGCTTCACACGCCTTATCGCTGCCAGCAACAAAACTTTCGTTCAAGGTAAGTAGTCAATCCGATGAATCAAGACGTTTTTCATGGCAGGATAACACCAAGTAGTTTCCACAGTGGCCTCATCCCAACGGTGTAAATCATGGAACACGGAACTTCATCGCTTCAGATCTACAAGGCCAGATCAGCTCTCCGTCCGTCACACATGTGGAACCCCACCTTCCGGCTCTCCAGCACCATGCATGGGCTCGTCATCGTCACCGTTGTGTGGATCTGACCTTGCGGGACCTCTCCCGACCGCACTGGCAACACCACCATGAGTCCTGTCTCTAGCACAGCTCGAAGAGGAAGGAAAATGCTCGACACGCCATAGCTGTCTCGCTTGAACAATACTGCGGTGACACGTGCTGGCGCCAGAGATCTCTTTCTGCGTCAGCTCCTTCTCAAAGGCCGAGCGCCATGGCCTCCGCCCGGATCGGCACGCTTAAGTGTGACGTCAGAATATGGCGGTCAGGCTGCATGTTCTGCTTCCCAAGCCGCATTAACAAGTATTGGCTCCTGCCCTTGCCTTTTGGCGTCGCACGCCTGTTCTCCCTCGAGAGACAGCGTTTTCCCTACGGGAAATTCGTTTGCTTGGGCTTCGCACCCAGCAATTCCTCGCATCACGCGCCTTATGCCTATCTCACGCTGGGTCTGAACAATCGCACCGCGGCGCGTTTGCCCGCGCCTAAACTCACCTATTTCTACCCCTTCTTGGCTTCCCCTTTCTTCGTCGCTTCCGTCATGGCCACCCCTCAAGGCTTTGATGCAGTAATGGTCGACAACGGAGTCAACGTCTCCTCCGTGAGCGACCTCCTACCGGACAAGGGCCAATCGATGCCGCAGGCCAAAAAGATCTGCATGGGGAAACCTCGTCATCTGCTCGACTTGCGCCAGATTTTGTCATGGACCCGGCTGCCGACCCTGAAGCGGCGCCGGACCTCACCCTCAATGGCCTGGAGTCCAGCGTGGCACCTGCGCCGGTGCTAGCTGGCCCCCTTCTGCGGCTGCGTCGTACTCGTGACGTAGTTGGAGAAGTTGTACATAATCTGGTATGCGACACCCACACGTTGGTCACTATCATCTTTCCCGATAGCCTGGCTGATACTCACCGCAGCAAAATCAGCAGCCGCGTCCGCACTGGTCTGCGTCCTGCGTTTTTTCCACACTCTAATCGCGTGCCTAAGTTCGAATCCTCCCCCGGCGAAGTTCTCCGTCTTCCCCGCCGCTCATACGCGCGGCTTGTGTTCCAGCTCCCCACGCGCGACGACGCTAGGGGCTTCCGCAGAGTCTTCCCGATGACCTTCCGCTTCAGTGGCGGCGCGGTCGAGCTGAAACTCTACGATGACCCTGAGCCGGACTTCACGGCGGCTAAGGCCCGGGAGAAATGCACCTCATCATCCGCAACATCCCCTTCGGGTACTCGGTGAGCGCGATCCGTCAGCTGCTGACGACGAGCCGCACGCAGGACGCGCGGAAGTGGGTGTTTGACATTCGCGTCTTTCACAAGACCTACGATCCCTACGAGGAAATCTCACAGCCCCAGATGATGGGGATTCCCGTCGCGGAAATTGACGATCCCTTCTTCGACAACATCCCTGCGGTGCTCTCGTTGGAAGAGGCCCAGCTGCCGGTGATCATCAACTTGTCATGCCACTCGTGCGACATTTGCACGAGTAATCACCGGACGCGCGACCACCAGTGGTTTGCGATGACGCGCCGCAAGAACCTTCCCAACCGCTACACGATCACGGTCGTTCAACTGCAGAATCTTAATGGTACACTTCCTGGTGTTTTTGCCATGTTGCACACGAGTTCCACTCCACTTGCTCGCATGCATCACAATGTTGTTCACGTGTCACATGCTGCCCCCCACTTCATGCCCTATCGCCTTGAGATATGCTACCCCCTTAACGCCCCTCTTGCTTGTGCTTTCATTCGTTATGTACTTCTGCCCATCGGCCAGTCCCCAACACTATACCCCTACCCCTGGTCTCCCGGCTCACTTGCCACTATTGTGGAGGGGCCCTTTCTGCCAAATTTCCTTCTCCCCTCTCTGTGTTGCACGCTCCGCACACGTTTTTCTTCAGCCAAGCTGCTCGGACAAACGCCGGTGCCGCTGGTAGTCAAGGCCGATCCTGGAATCTTGTACATCGGCTCCGAGGACAATGTGGAACTCTGGACGTGTGCAATCTGCGACTTCGAGTGTGGGCCTGCTCTCGATAGTGCCTTCACCCACATTCGTTCCCCCGAACACGGGCTTCGGCTCATGCAGACGGAATCTCAGACTACTGCCCTGGAAACCTGGGGTCCTATGAAAGCACACGATCTCGAGCAGCGCGAGGAGATCTCCTCATTCCTTGCCTCACTAATATAGATTGCTGCTGCATGAGTGAGTCTCAGTATGCCTTACCGTGCCGTCTGAGCCCGGCGCTAGCTCTGTTAGGATGTGTGATGGTGGCCATGTTGTGGCTGTTCAAAGTTTCTGATAACTTTTGCTTGGACAACTCTATGCCTTCTGGCACTTACCTTAGCATGGGTATAGTGTTCCTATACAACATAACTATCACACGGTTTCCTAATCTTCACATAAGGCTCCTCCACTTTTCATACTCCGCTATTCCAAGGAAGCCAATCAATCATTCACCCCGCGTCACAACCCTATGCTAGCCGAAAATGTTACTTTCCTCTCCCCGGTGGATGTGTGCACTCACGTGCACAGGGGGTCTGGTTGTGCCACCATGTTAATTCCCGTTGCCATCTCCTCCCTCAATATCAACGGACTCAACTCATTACAAAAGATGGACGAGCTCAGAGCCTCATTTGTCAAAATGCCTGACATTTTGGTCCTTATTGATACTCGTCTCACAAAGAATTTCACTAAGCTCATCCGCAAATTCCGTCCCAGAGCATATGCTCAAACACCTTCAACCATCAGCAATGGGACTGCGAACCCAGGAGGTATCACGCTAATGATTTTCAACCCAGCCATCTCTATCATTGATCGAACCTCATCAGATGATGGCAGGTTCCTCATGGCACACATACGCCTACTACAAGAACAATTTAGGTGTTTCTATGTGTACGGTTCAAACTACCAACCAGAAAGGCGGCGCTGGTGGGAAGACAAGCGTGAATCTGCACTTGATATTGCATCTGCCACACAAGCAACCATGGTTATGGGAGACTTTAATGTAGTCACTGCCCCTATTGATCGCAACAGAGAACTTCACACCTCAGAAATCAGAGAAGGCGCCCTACTCACCTCCATCGTGGACAAACACGGTCTTGCGGACCCCTTTAGAGTCCGTCACCCTACCGCGGCAGAATTCACTTTCGAATCCTCATGCTTGAGCAGCACTACGGCGGACCCGCCCTCATCCCGCCTAGTCAGGATCTACCTCTCCAACGCTTGGCTTCCCCGGGGTCTCGCCTTCTCACACCGGCCGATGGCACATTCTGTATCTGATCATTCACGTTACCCGGAAATGCTTGTAGGCTTCACAAACCCGAACTGCGCCCCCCACGCCTGGAGACTGCCCCACTCCCTCATTCTCAAACCTTTCGTTCATAAGCTCACCACTGAAGCACGCCAACATCTCCCTCCCTTGCTCCGTGCCGCGGACTGGGATCCCCGGAAGAAACGGCTATGCCATTTTCTGTTCCAACACAGTCGCGAGGAACGCCTCCGCGTACAACATACGCTGACTCACCTTCAAAACGAAATATGTCAACTTCAATTATCCTTGGTGCGCTCCCCACAGGATAATGTTGCCCGCACACAGCTCAATAAAACAACCAAGCAATTTGAGAAATACATCTCCAGCAGAGCAGCTGACATTGCGCTTAAGGCTAAACTTAAGGTCGAGGGCGCCAAGGATTTGGGGCTTCCCTCGCTCCTAGTCGGCCTCACGTCACGCATTAAAGCCGCACTCATCCCACACCTCACCCTTCCGTCCGGCGAAAAAATAAACGATCTTTCAGCTATGTCCGCGCACTGCACCAGCTTCTACACCGCTCTGTATAGTGGACAAAGCAAGACATCTCCCTCCTCCAGCTTCTGGAACCATATCTACCCATCCCCCCTCCCGTAACCTTTAATGTCACGTTTGGCAGCTCCAATCTCACTCCTGGAAGTCAAATGCGCTTTGAGAAGCCTTGCACGGGGAAAAACACCTGGCCCCGATGGCCTCGCAGGAGATTTCTTCCGTGCGCACTCGGACCCAATGGCGCCCGCGCTCCACCGGCTTTTCACCGCCATCAAACAATCTCAATCAATGCCTCCGTCCATGCTACATGGTCACATCGTTCTTATACCCAAGCGCGCAGAAGCCGCCTTTGTGGAAAATCCCAGGCCTATCACACTAATGAACTCTGATTACGAAGTTCTAGCTCTCTGCCTGGCCCAACGACTGCAGCTGACACTGCGCAGACTTATCCACCCCGCACAATCGGCATTTATCAAAGGACGCCGCATTGGCGACACCATCAATGACACGCTCGACCTGCTCGAATGGGTTGAAACAAAGCAACTCCCCCTCGTGCTTGTTACAGTCGACATTAAAAAAGCATATGACATGGTTTACACATGTACACATGCCTTCTCACCTCGGGTTGCCCATTGAATTCGTAGCTTGGGTACGGCTGCTACACTCTGGCACCAGCACACAAGTTCTTGTCAACAACCTGGCGGGACCCTCATTCCCCGTACTTACAGGCGTGCGGCAGGGCTGCCCCCTTGCGCCATTACTCTTCATTTGTGTCATAGAGGTCCTTCAACGCTACCTTTCGGTCTCTCTCCCTGGATTTACTCTATCACCAACCCAACGTCGCCTCGCGGCGTGTTACGCCGATGACATGTCACTCTTTCTCAACTCAGGGAGCGAGGTACAAACGGTAATACACCTCCTACAATCCTTCGCGGACGTTTCGGGTGAACACCCCAACTGGTCCAAGTGCTCCTTGTCACTCTTCCATGTCCCCCGCGACGACATCTCTCCCGCTTGTCCCATCCCAGTTCGGCAGCCAAATGAGGCAGAGCGAATTTTGGGAATTTATATCCAGTCCGACGCTCCGGGGGAAACCACGTGGGAGAAAATCACAGGGAGAATTCGCAATACCGCTGCATTCTTCGCCAAAATACACGCTACCGTCACATGAAGGTCCGCCTTGAACTCCGAACGTCTCGTCCCACTCTTTGCCTTTGGAGGCCGCTTTCAACCGGCCCCTGAGAAGGTCACCAAACAACTTGACACAATAGTTGGCAATCTACTCTCTACTTCCAAATATCGAGCTCAAGGACGTGGAACTCGGCTTGTACCCAAAGATTACCTCTACAACAAACGCTGTCACGGAGGAGTGGGGGCGTGTCAACGCGCCGCGAGACGATTCCTCCCTACCCCCACGGAAGACATCCCCAGGACATGCTGCTCCCTGCCATACGGGCTGCACTGCTTCCTTGCGCATAAAGACATTCTGAAATTTTTACCTGACACGACGCCGGCACGTGGCGTGGCGGAGCTCACTGCGACCTTCGATCTTCCGACGGCGGTTCACCCACCCAGGCTCGAACCATGGGTGCTAATGGCCGAACCCCTTGCTTTCAATCGCGAGATAGTGCGACCTCAAAAACGTCCCTTTGGGCGCATTAAAGGCGAAAAATTCCTACTCGATAAGGAGCTAAGACTCAGCGACCTCCTCATCCCCACCCTCACAGGCGCCCGCAAGCTTCACGAGGAAGAACTCAAAGCCAAGTTCCCCACAAAAGACTACCCTGGGGCAATCAGGGTCATACTGGACATCTATCACGCGATCCCCAAGACATGGTGGCCTGTCCTCAATGCCTTTTCGCCACCTCCCAATTATCTGGAGGTCGGAGAGTGGGCCATTTCTGTTGGTGTAAGGGCCTAATAAACTCAAGCTATTAGGACTTAATCAAACTTAAAACCTCTCCTCGGGGTCACCTCCAAGGGTCCCTGGGTGCCTGGTACAAGACCAGCCCCTATCCTCGGGTCCGAGTTTGTAGAGAGAGGGATCAAGAAGGACTTAGTCAAAACAGCAAGAGCACCTTGAACGTCGCGCAGCGTGCCGTGCAGACCGTCGATCGGATTAAGCTGAGAATTCGCTATATCGAAGCTCGCTCCAAGAGCTTTAAAATGAGCCAAGTTGCCTCGCGAAAAGTTCTGCCATTACGAAGTTATGGCTCAGACGGTGTTTGCCTAGCGTTGGAGTGCTAGCATACTAGCGTTGACTCGGGTAGCATTCCGCCGTCGAATAGCGCAGAAACGAAATTCCAGCGAGGAAGGAATTCGCTTGAATCAATTTGACTATATTCAGGTACAAACAGAGAAGGATTAAATAGTTCTAGCTAGCAAGGACCTTGGGAATCAACCTGGGAACAACCAGGGATGATCCCAAATAATTCCAAGCAACAGAACCAATCCTGGCTGGACAAAATAGCAGGTGGTAGGTTGGTAAACAACCTCTGGTTCTGTTTTTCCAACCTGGGAAAACAACAACCAGGTTCAGGTTCTAAAAACAGAACCTGTTTTGTCTTTGCCCAACCAGCCAAATGCTGGTTCCGCTGGTTTCCCCTGGCCTTGTAGCATGCAGATACAGACAAACAACATCCAACCTTCACCTAAATTGTACCCCTATAGTGCCTTCCCTGCTACACTATAGTTAACCAAACAAAACAGTACAATTTTGAGTTGGATAGAACTGAATCTGCGCAATCAACTCAACCGAACTGCAAAGCTTCCATCTTGGGTTCCTTTGCGAGCTCGTCCTTCCTGCTTGCACTGTTCATAGCGCATACAATGTTGTGCCAAAGCGCACATTGCGCGAGTACCTGCAAATGCATCAAGCGAAAAAATGCGAAAGCAAACAAACACACGAACACACCATTCACACGCAAATGCATTCGCACACGCATACTCGTACAAACAGACGGCAGGATGTCGTGCAATGTGGATTTGCACCCAACACACTCCCCCTCAGCCTGCCGGCTGCATCCCCGTCATTCCATGCTAGTTCATGCTCATTCCACTCATGCGCACACAACGCCAATGAGGCTCATCCGCAAGCCTCTTGGTGAGAAAGTCTGCTGGCTGCTGGTGAGTCTTGATGTAGATCGGATGCACCGTCCCCCTCTTCACCTCCTTACGCAGCCAGTGCCACTTGATACGCATGTGCTTGTTCAGCCCATGAAGCACAGCGTTTCTGGCCATCCCAAGAGCCCCCTTGCTATCACAAAACAGCGGCGTAGCAACTTTCTGCTCCTGGCCAATCTCCTCTAACAGCCTCCTCAGCCAAATCACCTCCTTCACCCCATGGAACATCGCCATGTACTCTGATTCTACGGAAGAGAGTGCCGTC